CTTCTAAGTTGTAATGTTTGTAATTTTACCTAAGTATATATATCTAGTATGCATAGTTTATCAACCACACTATTTACTTACTCTCAGTAACTTCTCTCCAACTATACTCTGCTGCAGGCCTAGAGCTGGGACCAGCTGAGGTTGAGGGATGATCAGTTATGTCCTCGTCGGAGGACCCACTCTCAAATTTTTGCACAGCAGCATCTTCTGCTCCAGAGCTTACATCACTACTCTCTGCATCTGTCTCTACATCATCCCATACCTCCATCACTTGTCCTACTTCCATTCTTACTGTCCTGTCTTGTAACTCTCTGTTTACTACTAAAATTGTTTGTATGACAGCTGCGCATGTGCAGCTGTTTTGCCCCGCCCTCGGACGCGCGTTTTTTTTTAGAGAGCTTGACTTCATGGCAGTGTTGTGACGTGAAGGCCAAGGACCAGTATTGGCTACAGAGCGGGAGGTAAGCCCTTTGAGTTTGTGCAGAAAATCCATGGAAGTTTGCATGTCACGCGGGTGTGGCATACGTCCCGCGGTAGTGTCCGCGCGTCTCACGCGGGTGTTGCAGACGTCCTGCGCAATGATTTATAGTCTCACAAATACGTGGCATACGCCCGGTAAGAGTTAAAGCCCGCCTCCCACCTGATAAACTCCAGGACATACACCACTTCCTGGACACCTGGGCAACCCGCTCCAGCTAAGAACTGCTATCCCTTATCGGCATCCTAAGCTTTGCAGCCAAGGTAGTCCCAGCTGGAAGGACCTTCCCTAGACGAGGTAATCTCTGTCCGAGGAATGGTCGATCGTTCTTCCTCCTGCCAGACTGGACCCCCTCCCCCACCTCCAGCTGTTTACCGACAGCTCAGGGACCACCGGTTTCGGTGCCTACCGCCAGGGTGAGTGGTTCAATGGCCACTGGTCTATGGCTGAATCGCAATGGAGTATCCAGTGGAAGAGCTCTACCCAATCGTGCTCGAAGCAGCAGTTTGGCGAACACATCCACCTACTCTGCGACAACCAGGCAGTGCATTGCTTAGTGCCTGGCTACTCCCGTTGCCCTCACGTAATTTCTCTCCTCCGTAGCCTCTTTCTCTTGGCTGCTAAATACAATTTTACCGGGTCTGCACAACATCAACACCATGCACATGTCTGCAGAGGGAGATCAAACAGTAGGAGATACAGCTGGTGAGCTACCATTGATCGCTGTACCTGAGATATTGTGTAATACCACACATATCCCTACTGGCTCTGCCAACAGTCCCCACACAGCAGGAGGGACAGCAGTATAGACAGCCCGAGAGGGAGAATGATCCACCATTGGTTTGGCCATTGATCGCAATATATTGTGTGTATTACGACACATATCCCTACAGGCTCAACCATCTGTCCCCTCAACTCACCCCCTACATCCTCTCCTCCATTCCCAGTTCAATCAACTAGCACCTACTAAGCACAGGTAAGCAAGTCACACAGACCACAACAGCCAAATTGTCAGAGCATATCAAACTGTAATGGTGTGGTACATTGATAATGTTGTTACTACACATCCAGGCTCCACCAACAGTTGGGGAGAGAAGGATTCCACTCCAAAAAGGTCACTAAGACCTCCATATGCACCGATGACGAGGAGGAGGAGGAGGAGATGAGCACTTGGTGTGTGCATTGCTCTGATCAGGTGGGTGATGTGGTACGGATTTTGTGAAAAAAGAGGCACGGGCATTGTAGAGGGAGGGTGGGAAAGGTGTGGAAGGAGGTGATGCATGACAGGAGCTTATAGAGTCTAACATTGCTCTATCATGTCGTAGGTCTACTGTGCTTGCACCCTCCACTTCTCTTCATCACCCAAGTTTCTACCCAACAGAGGACCCTTCAACTTCCTACCGAAGGTTGGAGCACAAAAGTTTCTATCCAGAGCACCAACACCCACCCTCCACTTCCTACGAGCAAACCCTCACCTCGGTGCACAACCCACCCTTCAATTCATACCAGGAGTGCAATCCACCCTCCACTTTGTACCAGGAGCACAACCCACCCTCCACTTCTTACTCATGGCAGGAGCACCCACCGTCCGGTTTAAAAACCCCGCCACGACCAACTCATCCCTATTAGCTCTCTCCACAGCACTTCACTCCGCAGAAAGATAAGCAGGACATCCTACGACGATACAATGACGAGCGCATGCTGGATGTGTGGCTGCGCATCTGGCGCAGTTCTATTATTTTGGGACGCACATAATGTGCCAGTCAACTTCAGGCACCCTCGACCACAGGAAAATGTAAGGATGCAATATGGTATAATTTCTCAACAAGATGCAGGCAGGATAAAGAAGCCTTGTGGGAGAGGTGTAAGAAGGCCATTGGCCAAAAATGCAATCACCTACGTTACATGAAGCGAGAGCTTCTTAGCACAATCTGTGATCAACCCACATACCTGATCTAATGAAAAGCACTAAAGTGCAAACCCTCGCCGAACTGCGCATGCGCAGTAACACTAATGGTTGGCTGGGCTTTTTACACTTTTACTCGTGGTATCCCGCTAGTAGCTCGCGGAGAGTCTGGCACGGGATAGCTACAGTAGTAGATAGCATGCAGGAGTCGATACATGCCCTATGTTGTGACTCCTTGTGCCTTCAAGATACACAGACGCAGTCGTGGTAAGCCTGTGCTAATTTGCATAATGGCTTGTTGACTTTTGAATGCAGTAGTTATACGAAAATCTCCAAAATCTCCCTTTAAAAAATTAAGCCAGTGGTATCGCTGTTTTGTTGTCTCGTTACGCGTAGTCGCAGAAAATGTGGTAACAGAGACAGACGGACGGACGGACAGAGAGACAGAAAAGCCAAGTACCGTAACCCTTGCTGCGCATGCACACCGAGGGTTAACTAACCATGTGCGATATCACATATCCTTGTCGTTCTTTATGCATCTGCACATTCACAACACCGGAATAATCTTCATTTACCATATTTTGAGTTGTCTAAAGCCAAAGCTGCATGCATCCTTGTCATTCTTAATCCATCTGCGCATTCATAACACACACTGGTACGATCTTCATTTATCATGTTGTGAGTTCTCTATTCATTAAGCTGCATGAATGACACAATATATGGTAGGCAGGTGGTGAATTTTTGAAGTGCCACAGTAGTATGTGACCAAGAAGAACAATAATGTGGTGCACAGAAAGGTGCTTCTGAGTTTGAAACGAGTATCCTTGCAGCATCTCCATCTAATTTTTTTATTTTTATGATCTGACGAATTATTATTAATGTATTCGTACTTTTGTACATTAACAAATGTTGGATGCCTGAAACCAGTTCCGACTTTGTTCTTGGTTTAACGTCACGTCTAATGAATTCCTTCAGTTCATGTCAGAGATATCTATAGGATTGGCATAAGGAGATTCGGGGGGTGTTTCCACCAATTAATTCTTTCTTCTTCAAAAAAACTGCTGTGCCGTCCTGGACGTGTGCTTAGGATCATTATCCTGCATAAATCGGTGTGAGTCAGGATACGTTCAATGAAAAAAGGGGACTAAACTGCTCCGTAATATTGAGATGTACAAGTCAGCATTCGTAGTTCCTTCAATTGGTGTAGCACCCCTTCTGCTGATACCAGCCCATATATGTAGTTTAATTGGGTGTTTTGGGAGGGGCTTGAGAACTGGTTGCTCCCCTCTTTTCCTATAGGAGTGTCTTCGGTGACTTTCCAATGAAAATGACTTTTCAATGAAAAAAGGGGACTAAACTGCTCCGTAATATTGAGATGTACAAGTCAGCATTCGTAGTTCCTTCAATTGGTGTAGCACCCCTTCTGCTGATACCAGCCCATATATGTAGTTTAATTGGGTGTTTTGGGAGGGGCTTGAGAACTGGTTGCTCCCCTCTTTTCCTATAGGAGTGTCTTCGGTGACTTTCCAATTGGACAGTAGTCTCATCCATCCTACTTACATTGTTAAAACCGTTATTTAAATGTTCTGGAAAATTATCATAAGCCCATTGAAATCTCGTGTTTGTTAGCTTCTCGGATTAATTGGCAGTATTTTGAACCCCTAAAAGTCCATCCAAGCCTAGCACGAATGCGAATGATAGTTGATGAACTAATAGAAACACCATGTGATGTTAGCTGTACTTGAACTACTGTAGTCTCGCCATCTTACCTCATTTGTCATTCAACTAGTTCCAACACCTGACCTGTTACTTTTGAAGGTCTTCCAGAACCTTCTTTCCGACAAAGAGTATTTGCCCGACCAAGACGCACTAACAAAATGGCAGCCAATACAAAACGCCGCTTGGTACATGCTACTGTCACACTCCATAAGCATCTACAAGTAACCACTGTCTAAATCCATTGCCCATTATGAAACACAGCCCAAATACTCACCGGGGCGCTGGCATTATTGCTTACATGGAACAACCGCTCGACCGCGAGTTTGCTCGCAAGCCATGGCTACCAGTTTTCTTTGTTCGCTTGCTGGTGCATGGTCATAAGATGGCTCATGTTAGCCAGTTTGTGTGGAAAATGGCTTGCGTGGAGCCTGACAGTGGCGCAACAAAGACACTCTGCAAAACACCGTCTTTCTCGTTGTCTGGCAATTTTGAGGTTTGCCCGTACCGGTTATGCCCTCTTTTACACCTGGATCTACCTAGGTTTAGTGCTTTGGATAACAAGTACTATTTTAAATGTGCACTGCACGTTTAACGCAAAACTCATGTTGCTACTGACTCTATACACGAATAGTGCACAAACTCACTTAGAGCTTCTCTCTTTTGATCACTCCTCTGACAGAATGTGCTATACGTACCTAGCTACAACATGCTACAAAAGAAATGAACTCAAAAAGTATGCACTTGCTTAAAGATTCTGAAAACTCATCCAACTATTGCTCTATACACTGTTATCCGAATATGTCATAGGTACTGTCTATAAACAGGCTCACTCCTGCTCACCCGGCATTAACTTAAGTATGATTGGCTGACAGACAGGTACTGTAAGAATGGGCTTACATTTATGAATCCTCCTAGATTTTGTACTGCGACGTAAGCCTTGAAGAGATCAAGAGGAGCTTTGGAAACTGTAGGTATCCGTAACAACCCAATTCCTGTACAAAATGAAAAGGCACTGAAGTGCAAACCCTCGGCAAACTGCGCATGCGCAATACCACTAATTAATGGGCTGGGCTACTGGTAAGCGCTCATTCGTGGCTCTCGCAGAGTCCGACTCGGGCCATCTATAGCAGTAGATACCATGTGGGGTCGATACACACCCTTCGTTGAGACTTCTTGTGCCTTCAAGATACGCAGAGCAAGCAGACCCTCGCGAGGTAAGCCCATTCCAATTAGCATAATGGCTTTTTCGCTTGTGTTTCACGCCGCAGTTTCAGAGAAACCCCCACACATCGAGCTTTATCCGACGCTGAAATATTTTCCCAATAACACCCAAAAGCTATTCGTAACAACTCACAAATTCAGTAAACTAAAGTCTGTTCACGTTCACCTTGCCGCCGGAAGTGAGCAGTCAAAACTGAGGCTTTAGCGACCGAACTCGCTGCGTGTTTGCGCAGAGAAAAAACCTTGTTTCGCTCCCCCGCTAGCAAGTCTCTTACCGCGTTTGCGGAGTGCATGTCACTCAGAATTCACAACTGAACAGAAACGGAAAACAGAACAGAAATAATAGTGAACGACAAACGGAAAAAAACGGAATGAAATTGGAAATGTTTTTGACTCCTACCGTAGGTGCGTGAAACGTACCAGTAACCCAACAAACTTGGGTACAGGCGCACAATTTCACTACGCGTTGTGAGGCACTGTTCAGCATGGATAAGCGGCTATGCGCGAACTAGCGGTTGCTTAAAAAAAACTGCATGCACACAGAGTATGCTGGCTACTGCGGGTGGTGCACGTAGTGGCGTGTTAGTACGTGCAGACTCTCGAGCTACATAAATTGGCATGGCTTAAACGAATTGTCACCGAAACTATTTACTGTTGTACTTTGTACAGCCATACAAAGTTAGTATATCACGGTTGGGTGCCTATACATACGGTACCAGTCAAACAAAATGCACGGTTACTACACTGAGACATTGACAAGTTACACAGTTACAATGTACAGCAATTTGTAATTACGATGTAACCGATGAAGCCATACTAAAATTATGCCCTACCACTACAGAGCAACAGGTGGATACGCTTCTTGTAACCAAACCGTAGGTGTTTACGCAGCTTCGTAGCTACGCCCGTACATGCAGTACACGATTACGGCGTAGCTCACTAGGTCAAGAAATCACAATGACTGTGGATGGGTTCAGACAAAGTAGGTGCGAAGGCGGTACGCAGAAACAGACGCAACTAAAAGAGTCTGCTGCAGATGCACTGGAGTTCAGGCAAATTCGAGTACTATGGTTTGGCAACGACTGGCAGCGTTACGACGGCCGTGTAGAAGACGTCCGTATGGACGACATCGAGGAAGGAGACCGCGAAGGGATGTGCGTGTGTCCCTTCTGCTTACACATAATGCAGGGAAGAGTCTTCTACAGCAAGATCCGGTCCACGCCCGGCTGGACCTACATCGCCCGGAAGGTACACTAGAAAGTTGTGAGGGCCATCGTCACCGGACAGTATTGCGCAAGGGCACTTTCCATGCGATTCCCGTTATTTTACAAGGAAAACTGTTTGCAGTTTTTCTGGCCTTTTTCTCTAGCTGGTGCGGAAGCATTCTTTGGTGGGTGTGTCGTTCCGTGTACGAAAGGTCGCGACTACTTCCGCTTTCGCACAAGAAGGAACTGGTCATGAAAGGCAGCAACACAAAGCCTGAAAAAGAATCTAGCAAATTTCCCATGCAATGCTGAACCATCCTTTAAAGCAGAATTACATGCCTTGTGTATGTAGGTTCACGTCTAGTGTATGTAGCACTTTTATAATGGAAGGCACTGAAGTGTAAACCCTCGGCGCTGTGATAATAGTGAACACACACGCACAATTATGTAAAGTAATGGGTGGGGCAATGGTATCACCAGGTCTGGTAGAATTGTTGTACTTACTGGTGCTGTATTTAGGTTCATAGATAAGATTATTCTTACCTCCCAAGCCTAACCTAGTGAGCAAAACGCCTTAGTTGGAGGAATACTTACTGAACTCAACCGTCGTCTCTGTCTAGTCTCACAGGGGGGGAAAGGCTACTGGCCACGTGGTCCCAATCAGCGTGCGCCGCTTTGGCCGCCTGCCGCCTCGGAGTCGCGTGCGTTTTGTGTATACGCACATGCGCGTTGTTAAAATGCCCCCCTTTGCCGCACCGTACAAACAGCAAAACGCTCTAGCTCTGCAACGAAGCAGTTTGAGAGAAAATCCCACATTTTTTCTGACCTCCGTCGGCCGCTGGGTATGTAAACCCATTTTGGACGCGATCTATGACTGGAGAAGTGAGTTCTCACTTAACTGACAGAATGAATGACTGAATAAAAATAACCCGTACCTTTTCACTCCTGGAATGGTCTTGGTACGAGGTGTTATTCTAATTAACGCGTACCTTGGCCTGTGCCGTCAGTATGACGTAAAGGGCCATTAGAGCCAATCGGAATCCCCCAGCAACACCGCACGCACGTGGGATGTCAAGCTAGCTACTAGTATACGAGAGCTAGAGAACATAGAGAGACCGCGTGACCACGTTGAGCTCCCAACCCTTCTACTATGGCAAAGCGATCTCTCCAGTTCAACCCCGATTCCCCACCTCCAAAGACCAAGAAAGCAGAACCACTCTCTCCTAGTAAAGTTTCCACCACCTCAGGCTTGCTATCAACGCTCTCGCCTCTACAACCGAATAAATTTTTTCACGGTGAACTAACAGATGGGGACTCTGATGAGGGTTGTAGGCTTTGATAAAGCCAAGTTGGAGAAGCTACGGCCATATTGCGATTGTGAAATTCCTGTAACGCTGAGAGATTGCGTAATTCAGCGGAACAAGATGAAAGGCGATCTCGAGATAGTGCTCAAGACCCACACCAAGATTGAAAAGACCACGGCATCATTTGAAATCTCTGATCCAAAGACCGCAGGCAGTTTTGTCCTTACTCTGGATAAATTATCCAGTCTTGCCGAGTACACACGTGTTACGATCAAAGCCACAATCATTAGGGTACACGAGCCACAGAAGGTGGGCGAAAGGAGGATAATGAAGCAAGACATCACAATCGCTGACTCAACTGCCACTTGCTTCTGTCTGTTTCTTGTTTTGCTCGCTTGTTTCACTTGCTCTCAAGCTTGCCATGTGCTTTCTACTCTGCTGTTGTCTTTGCAAAGTTTGCTCGCTAGTTTCACTTGCTCTTTTAGTGGCCTTTTGCAAGTTATCTTTAGCCTTCATAGCTGATTTGACACTATCTGACTGTGACACTCGCACGCTTTTCACGGCTTTGTCTGGCAAATTATGCTCTGTTTTTCTCTTGGCTCGAAAGACATGTTCGCAAGATTTACACACTTTCAGCCTTATATGTACAGTAGTTTGACACTGTGGGCATACCTTACTCGGAGGCATGATAGATAAATCCGCAACTCACGCAACAGGACACCTTCCCTCACCGAACGAGAAGCAAAATGCCCGCTTTCCACTTTCCACCACGTGGTCGATCGCAAGTACAATACACATGCGCGTTTTACGTGGAGTAAAAATGGCCGACTATAGCCAGCCGTACAATGGTGGAAGCGCTCTAGCTCTGCAACGGAGCGTTTTCAGAGAAAACCCCACATATTTTCTGACCTTCGTCGCCCGTTGGGTAGATGGTATCGTTTCTGGGACGAACAGACGTTCGAGAGGTGAGATGTAGAGTAACAGACAAACAGACAGATAGACCCAACTACTGTAACCCCCGCTGCGCATGCGCGCCGAGGGTTAACAACTATGTAGGTTGGCTCCCTCCTGCTTGCCAATCTATGCTACTACATCTAAGCCTTCCCATATTATGTCGCCCCTTTCTCTATTAGCGATGCATGCTTATTACATAGACATGGGCTTATAGTTACTGGATGCACACTCCAGGAACCCTTGAAGCACAAGGCTCCTCCCTCCCTCCCAATGAATTCTCCCTTCATCCAGACTCTTCCCACTCTCCTGAAGATCCGAAGTCCTCTAACGGTCCTCCTCCTTGTCAGGCTTTTAGTTCCACCCCCCTCCAAGGAAGATCTGCATGTTCTCTCTGCTACTCTTGGGCCACAAGAAGTAATTGGAGTATGTCTAAAGTCAAGACTATGATGTATTTCCTCTTTGGAATGTGCAGCTGTTTGTGGTAAGGGAAAAGGAAAAGGCATGAGAGGATAGGTCCAGCTAGTGGACGCTCCAAAAGAGATTGTGAGTTACATGTTTGGGACTACATATGCATACGTACGTATAGTAATCTGTGCCCCTTCTCTTAATTTGCTGCCTGACAAGAAAACAAAGAGTGATGGAATTGATAGCATTCACATCATGTAAAACTTGATATTTATGAGTTATACACAGCAAAGATCTGCACGAGCAATCGCAGCTTATTTCCAAGTTGCACCTTCGAACCATGAAGATTGGGAAGAGGTATATACAGCCTTGGTCAGTCACCGAAGATTGCAGCGCATGCCGTCGAATGGAGGAGAGTTCTCTTGGTGGCTAGATCAACTGGCGCTTATCTCGAGGCGTGTGTGAAATGCGTAAAAATGTGGAAATGATTTTCAGATTTAAAAAAGTGCGTAACGAAGCCACGCATGCGCACTTACATGACGTACGAACGGACGATAAGTAAGAGATAATGTGCATTCAGAGTTGTTTAAGGGAACGAGGGGTGTGGTCTCGAGACTACAGCACGAGGCGCAGCCTGAGTGCTGTATTCGTCGCCCTCCAGCGACAGAAATGCGACGGCATAGCATGCGCACGTGTGCACTTGCTAGGTTCTCGAGCAAGTTTCTGTACTCGAGGCTATCGCAATCGAACAATGTCATGATGGTGGCTCTTTCTCCCTCAGAGAAACTCGTTTCATAGCTCGCTTGGCCGTTTGACCGGTCGGCGTGCCGCGGCCACGGTCTCCCTTGCCACAGGAAGCTGAATGAAGGGGTGTGGTCGCCTCAGCCATCCCTCGCCTGTATAGTCTCTACATAACAGTCATCCCTCGCCTCTACAGCCTCTACAGAACATTTTTTTGTCTACACTATGTGTACGATGCTGATGATAGTTCAATAATTTGTGTATTGAACGTTCAATACTGACCATATTGAACGCGTACTACATTACGGGAAATAAAAGTATGCGCGGCACCTTTGATCCGCCCACGCAAGTCAAAAAAATATGCATATGTGACCGTGCACGCAAAAACCAACCTTACGCCGCAATGTTAAATTATCGAGTACGCGTGAATATAACGCCTACACCAACCGGTATAAGCAAAACCACTTTTTTTGCCTATAAGTAAAGCTTCCCGTCAGAGCTACTTACGAAGAAGAAGAGGCAACACCGTGAAATATTCATCGAGTATTTCTGTATACTGCTCTTGCCGTATGCCTGAGTTTTACCTTTCCTGCCTCATAGGACGCCTTCTCGCCAGAAAAAGAGCTATTTCTCTGTAGCGGTGGTCAGTGAACGGAGCAACAAAGATGCAGCGACTACCAGTCACTTTCCTTTACTCCGCACACGGGCACAAAGGTTCCTGAAGAACTTGGGAGTGGTTGCTGAGTAGATCATCTAAGCTGCCGCCTTAAAAATACGGCAGCCTAGTGTTGACGGCTCAAGACAGACGGGAGCCGGCAGACGGCTCAACAGTGACGTAGCTGGCAAAGCTGGCCTGTTAACTGTCTAGTTTAGAATCTAGAACCAGCATCCATAGCACACACCGGCCGGAGTTTTCAGGATAAACACGATCGAACAACCTGTCTACAGCACGACGGTACATGCAGCTGACGCAAAGATGGCGAGCATTGCTTCTGCCTTGAATTGCCTCACAGAGAAGCCTGACGTCTACTCAGCCCGGTAGGGCCGATAGCAGCGTTCGTCTGCTGTCAAACTGCACGCTTACACCGCATCTCTCTGGTTGGCTAAAAATTTCCCGGGAAAAATCCTGTAACATGACGTCATATTCGTGCGCGGACAAGAATACGGAAAAAATTCATTCGACTATTACGCGTTTTGTATAACCCCGCGTGGCCCACGTTTGAAAAATCGTAACTTTTAATGTTTTTCCCAAAAACTATACAAAAATAAGCGCTGTATCAAGCACATTTCAAGCTTTACAACGATATACGAAAAAAGCTACTTCACAAAAATGCGGCGTAAGGTTGGTTTTTGCGTGCATGGTCACATATATATACACCGAAAAATCCACTCGAACGAACCACTAGGTTGGCTCGCTCCCGCTCGCCAATAAATACAGCATACTCTAACTCTTAGTACTGATAAGCTTATCAGGGTGTAGTTTAACACTATGTGCAGGTATGTATCTTTATTACTTGTTTTATTTGTGTCTGATGCAGAACCCTTTCCGGAGTCTGGTGCAGGGGAATTTAAAGACCTCTTAGAGAGTATCCAAAAGGGACAGCTGTTAATGTTAGAACTGTTTCAGAAAGTGTGTTCTCAGCTACAGCCTCAAGTTCCTACAACTTAATCAAGTAACTAAGGTCCAACACAGTTGTCAGTGGGCCCCTCCTTCCAATCCAACCCGACACAGTCGTCAGTGGGCCTCTCCTTCTAATCCAACCCGACACAGCAGCCTGTTGGCCTTTCTTCATTCAATCAGCCGTTTCCATCCACTCTTGCCTTCAATCAACCACTGCCTGTTGCTGTTTCATTCAGTCAACTATTGCAACAACCTTCTACCCCTCTCTCCAATAATCCATTGCCTGTTGGCTCCACAAACCAGCAAATTGATCCCACCTACTCTCACCAGCCACCACCACCATCAAGCCCGAGTTACTCAACTAATCCAACCATACCACCCACTCCAACCTTTGGCAGTAGACAATTCAGTCATAACACTGAGCCCTCATTAGAGGATCAAGACACACAGGAGTTACTGGATTCGTTCAGTGATTCTCACCACTCCTTCGCTGATGACATTTCCTACTCTCCATCACCAGCCACTCCTACTTTTCCATCCACTCACCGTCGTCAATTGTGGGAGCATCAGCAGCACCGCTCTTCACCACAAGACCTCCCTTCAATCCAGGTGCAACAATATATTTCCCCCACACAGTTACCTTCCCAGCAACAAGTTTTCTCTTCTCACTCCTCCCGGATTTACCCACTCCAGGGCACCCACATATCTACGCATCATTGAAATACCCCAGACCATTCCGTGATGCCACCACCATGTACGCCACCATGACCCCTTCAGAAGCCTTCCCTGCAATCTCCCCCATTTACGCCCAACAAAAGCATTGAAAATTGTAGGAATGAGAGATATGCTGGACGTGCAACCAATCAGCTGGCCAAGCTGTACTTCTTCGACAGAAGGGTGATGGCTAGGAGCACACTCTCAACTTTAGACAGAGACAGGTTGCGCAGAACGAAACTGATAATAATTGCCAAATTTGGTTGGGAGAAATCCCCTGCAGATCGCGAAGTCCTATGGAGTCGGTGTCGCACTGCACTTTGGCAACGCTGTAAGAACATTAGAAGTGAACTTCGGTGTCCAGAGATTTGAACATTTTATCATAACTTCTGCTGCACTTGGGTTATCAATGAGTTACTAGACCCTGCTGTTACTTTGCTATAATAACTTTGTAATCCTTCTGCTGTGCCCAATGTTATGCATATGCGTAAATATTACTTATTTAGTGCATATGTAGTACGTAGTAACTACACAATATGATAATGCTACACAATGCAAGAATTACACTAATGTACAACTTTCTCGTCTATCTACTAAATCTATCAACATAATGTAACCAACTTGGAGTGTAGTTACGGCGCGTTTTTATTGACTGGCACCATATAATGCTTGTTTGCGAACTTTCTAGTTAAATTTCATACTATACTCATACTATCAGGCGTCAGGATGAACTCATACAACACTCTAGTTTTCCTTCCGTTAAAAGTAATACACATTGAGTATGCATGCTGCAACTGCATTGGAAGCACTGCAATTTCACTAACAAACTTAAGAAAAAGTAAAAAATACCTTTCATGGTAAGAAATGAAAAAAGCGCATCCAAAAACTCTTTCCTTCCCTCTTCATCAGAAAACTGGTACTGGCTTACAATGCACTGAAACATAATAAACATATACATGGTAACCAGGGCTGTACAACAAGGATAACAGTAGCAATGTCTGATCACCACATGTACAGTATGGCTAACACCAAACCTTACTCGCGGTATGCAAGTGTGAAGGCCTCGCACACACGAGCTGAGGGGTGGCCCTCAAAAATTTTTCGCAAGCGCCCACGCCCTCAAACTCAAACATTCGCATACCACGAGTAAAACTCGCACTCAAAGGGAGCTCGCAGTGACGGAATTACCGGTCCGCGCCTCCCATTGTGATCGCAGATTGCAGGCTGACCACATGGCGACAGCCAGGACGGGAGGAGGGGACACGCTGTGAGCTACACTTCCCACATAAGGCTGTAGGATAGAGACCTGTCGACACACAAATATATCCCCCTCGTTCAACCTCACATGATGTCAATCATCAGCAGACGGCCGCAGGACTACGGCCTACTATATAAACAGCCAGCCCCTCTCTCCTGGTCTCTGCGAGACAAGCTGCCGTGCCGGCCTAGGAGATGCGGGCATCCGGTTGCCGCTCGCGGGACGTCTAGAGAGGCAGCTTGCTAGGAATAAGAGTCAAACAAACGTTTCCACTATCGTGCAGTTCCGTTCCACAGAACGTTAATTACCGTTTGTTTCGTCTGCGCTAGCAGAGATCGTCGAACACGCGAGCAATTAGCGATCTGGGGCTACACCCACATTCGACAAACGCGTCCCAAGGATACTACTTGTCGTGAGGCGGCCAAGAGCACAAAAGCGCGTCTGGGGAGCGGAAGGTGCTCCAGCGAGCCTGCTTTCTTCGGCGAAAAAAGCGGCACAGGACTCCGCGCACGGTACCGAACGAAACGGAACGGAACCGTAAAAGAATGAAACGAAACAACGTTATAGAACTGCGCTGCGCGCGGTTTCCATTCAGTTTTTCGCTGAATATGACGAAACCAAGGCTACTCCTTGTCGTGAGGCGGCCTAGAGCACAAAAGCGCGTCTGGGGAGCGGAAGGTGCTCCAGCGAGCCTGCTTTCTTCGGCGAAAAAAGCGGCACAGGCCTCTGCGCACGGTACCGAACAAAACGGAACGGAACGAAACTGAATGGAACCGTAAAAGAACAAAACGAAACGTTATAGAACTGCGTTGCGCGCGGTTTCCGTTCGGTTTTTGGCTGAATATGACGAAACCAAAAGTGTAATGTATTGAACGATTATGGAAATGTTTTTTGACGCATACTGTAGGATAAATTAAGGTAAGAATAGCATAGCAGAAATCTTGCAAGTTGCAAATAAACCAGAGGCTCAGGTGAACTTGTTGTGCGGTATGATGGATAGCTAAAAAAGGTAGAGCTGTCTACTCTGGGCTACACCCTCGTGGCGTACTGTGCTCGCGTCCTTGTGGATACTGCGGCTACGATGCTCCGCCGATACCGTAGCCACAATCAAAAAGTGTGTTTCCTTTCTGAACAATGGCCGTTCTATGGAGTAAATCGTACCGTTCCAGTCCCGTTTCGCTTCTGTTAATTAACCCCCGGCGCGCATGCGCAGCGAGGGTTACAGTACATGGTTTGTCTGTCTGTCTGTCCGTCTGTTACCACGTTTTCGGCCACCACGCACAACAAACAGGTAAAATAGCGACACCAACGGGTTCAGCGCTACACTGGCTTGATTTCAAAAATGTCGATTTTCGTAAAAGTGCCGCGTTCAGAAGTTATGGCGTGAAAACCAAGTGAACAAGCCAATATGCTAATTAGCACTAGTTTACCTCGACCTGATCGGCTTTATCTGTGTACCTCGGAGGCACAAGAAGTCACAACGAAGGGCGTGTATCGACTCCCGCATGCTATCTGCTACTGTAGCTAGCCCGTGTCAGACTCTCTGCGAGCTACTAGCGGGAGATCACGGGTTTACAGACTAATAGGCCCAGCCCATCAATTAGAGGTAAAGCGCATGCGCAGTTCGCCGAGGGTTTGCACTTTAGTGCTTTTTTTTTCTGTTTCCGTTTAGTTCTTTCTTCCGTTCTGTATCGTTCCATATCAGTGTGCCACACCCATTTCTGTCTGCGTGCCGATTGTTGTTCAATTTTCGCTGGGTGTACGCCAGACTATCAGTGTGTCCTGGCGAGTATAGAGCAGTAAATCATGAAGCTTTCAAACATAAAAAGTACGTGGTACAGGCACAGTCGGGTGGCGCAGGTAGTGGTACTGGAGTCGCAGAAAGCGGCACGACAGAGCTTTCCCAAAGCTGCAACGGTAAGTAAAGACCTCAGTAAACTGACTTTCCGGCGTGGTGGTGTCTTTGACCCAAAAACCTGGTACAGTAGATATCGTTACCACAGCGTCAAAAACAGCTTTCCACGACCACGCGGAAACAGAAATGAGCAGAACAGTACGTAACGAGACTGAACAGTATGGCGAAAAAATCAAAACCAACTCTGTTCCTTTTAGGACACCTACTGTAAAAGCACAGTAGATGCTTTGTATGACGACGCTATGGTACGGTGGTGGGAACCATTTTTAGCATCTGCAGTAGGGGTCAAAAAAACCTTTCCAATTTCGTCCCGTTCCATTTCATTTAGCTTCCGTTCCCATCTGAAACGCTGTTCATTAACTGTTGGAATTTGTTCCGTTGCGTTCCGTTTGGAATCGTTGCCGTCCATGCGTTTGCGTGAGGGCCGTCATTCGCGAGATGCGAAGGCCTCACTGTGAAGATATTTCTTCTGGCACCTACATGGATACTGTCTTCTCATTGCTTCGCGTTTGAGCTAAGAAAAAACCGTGTTTCGTTTCCCCGCTTGCGAGTCTCTACCGCGTTTATGGAGGGCGTGTCACGCGGAATTCACTACTGAACGGAAACTGAACAGAACGAACGGCAAACGGAAAGAAACAGAACGAAATTGGAAAAGTTTTTTTACTCCTACTGTAGGTACGGTTTGCTCCCTCCCACCAAAATGCTCTGCATTTGCCTTCTAGTATCAGTAATATGAGTTCAATAAGATAAGATTATCCAGGACTTGACTTCACCTCAAAATACACTTAGTAAACCAGAGACTGTAAACTCACAGGATGATTGTGATCAACAGGAGAAAGTGAAGGACTGGATAGAGATTCCTGTATTAAAAAATGAATGAGAGCATCATTATGTTAAAATAGGTTTGAGTGGTAAACACAAACACAACACAACTGAAAATTCCATGTACAGCTGTTCCAATAATTTTTCACATACATATGTTTCTTCCATACAACAGATAAATCTTTAGACTTTGTTTTAGTGCCTCATACTTCCAGATGCTTGTGAAGTGTGACAGTACAAGAGCATATTGAGTGGCAGTTTGTATCGGTCCCCCAATTTGTTTTTTGTCTGTCAGGCAACACAAAAAAAATCTGCCCATGACTGAGCCACCTCTTTTTACATGAACTGCAAGTTTAACAGTATTTCTCAGCTGGCATCATAATCTGTGTTCAGTTGAGCTGGTGGATTGTGAAAGTGACTGTACAGATATTCTATGTGTACACCTGGCTGTTAACACTGAAATGGCAGCACACAGAGGCAACAAAGAATGCAGAGAGCTCTACATGAAAAAGGGCGAAAGCAAAAAATTTCCTAACCTGCAGAATGTCACAATCATCAGAATGTGTTGATAAAGGGAGGGAGTCAACTTTAGAACTGGGTTGTACGTCATTCGCCTCAGACTTTTTTTCACTTCCATGTCGGACATTGGTTTTGCAATCTGATTCAGAACCATGCACTGCTAGTTGGGGAGACATAACAGCATTTCTGTCCTGACTATCAACTGAGTCAACCTCATCCACATTTGCACCAATGGGTTTATCATTTCGAATACCTAGTATGCTTTCCACCTGATAAGGACTGACCCTTAATGGTCCACCATCTTCTTCTGCAGCATTGTGAGCAAACGAGTTTATGAGCTCAGGCTCAGCAGGTATGTTGCCATCACTCTTTTCATCATAATGCGGCTGCATGTGTGGAGACATAATTGTACTGCCCCCTGTTGGGGTGGATGCATCTGGAGTATGTGGAAAATTTGCCGATGGAGTCAATGGAGAGGAGTGTCCGCCAGGAACTTGAGGACTGTAAGCAGAATAGTGTGGCTGTGAGGATGAATTGGGGGTTGAAAGAAGAGCATCCCTCAGGCTTGACACTGAGGGTTGTTTCTTTAGTTCACCGTCTAATGGGCCACGTGGGGACAAAGCTGTTGGCTGTGACAGCTGTGAGGGTTGTGTATTGGCTGCTTGTTCAACAGTGTGACCAGCAGAGTCCAACTGGGGGCAACTGGCTGGTGTACCAGGTGCCAGTTGGGCTGGGGTATTTGGAGTGCTTGATGAATAACCATCTGCACCTCGGTAGGACCACTGCGGTGAATGGCCTGAAGGGATTTCCTGAAAACAACAGTGTGTGTTATAGAGCAAAATAACTTTCGTAACTTCTTTATAAGCCAATTCCACATGCATTGTTGGTTGCAGAAAATGGGATATCTATAGGAAGGCATTTTATGTAAAATGAAAGCATATGGGGAAATCTAGCATTTGATAATTTGCAATTTGCCTACTTAGAAGTTGGCAAGTGTTGAAACCTGAGAAACCCGCAATGTTCAGCCCTGCAGCTTGCTTATTATGAACAATAAACCAAGCAACAACGTAGAAGCAGACAATAACTACAGTATAAATGCCTGGAGCTGGTGCTGATCGCTGCAACCACGCTGCATTTCCAACATTATTTTACTGTGTGTCCTACACACAGGCCAAAAAACAAGTATTTGAATCTCTAAAAAATCGGATAGCTCAGAGGTCTTGATGGGGAATGTGCACACACTGGTGTTAATGTGCACAATATCAATGTACAAAATTAACACCCACTCACACCCACGCAGCCCTAAAACATGTCACATTGGAGCCTTACTACTATATATTTACCTGTCCTTTGCCAACTGATGAAGGTTTACTATGCCAGCCAGAAGGAGGCTGTGGTAACAGGGTGCTATTCCCTGTTCCACCATCAGGAAACCCGTCAATGTATGATGGAACAGCAAAACCTGAATAACCTCTGGAATTAAGAACATCAAATATAAACAATTAAAGAGGCAGCCACAGAAGTCTAATACGACATAGAACACCAGGTTATGGCAAGTTTCAGCCCTATACAGTAAAACCAGCATATTGCCAGAGATACTTATTTACAAAACGTTGATTCGATGACTTTCAGCAAGTACTGCAGTGTATGCGATAAGGTTTTGGGTTTAACGGTAGCACACATTGAGATTAAACTATATACGCATGAGTATCACATCATTTCCATGACGACTACATGTTTGTAAACAACAGACATTTTTTGTCTATTGTTAGGAGGCTTGTTTCTTTTCACAGAGGTACAAGCAGAAGTACATTAAAAAAATAGCGAAAATCCTGAGAAATTAAAAGAAGAAGAGGCATATAAGGATGGCCTAGGTGAAGTATTAAACATTCAACATTAGGACTTACTAGCCTAGTTCCCAGGCTCTCACTCCTCCGCATGCTCGGGGCTGGAATGCGAGGCTTCTAGGTCGGTCCGCCGTGTGGGTGACGCGCTTGCGCCACGGGGCTGCTATCCCCATACGCTGCATCGTGGTTGATCCGCACTCTCTGCCTGCCGTCTACCCGCGGTCTGATCTCTGTTCCACAGCAGACGGTTGCAAAGGGAATCCCGTGGGCAAACTGATCGCTGTGCCCATGTCAAATAGATACCTTCTACCCTACCTTCTACCTTCGACGTCATTCACGTGACGTTTTAAACCAGGCTCTCCCTCGGTTATTATTATTATTTTTTATGTGTGAGGGTCACAGATCACTCAATGAAAATTGTGCGCGTGGAGGAGGGAGAGCCTGGGAACGAGGCTAAGGACTTACAGCTTGAAAAAATCAGTAACCAACACCTTTACCATAACAATGTGTAACTCGAAAAGCCATGCTATTAAAGTAACAAAGATTGCAAATGAGTTTAAGAGTGGCATACCAGGTAACAATATAGGGATTGCGTGATGGGGTCGGGGTGTCAGCGTGATGAAACCTGTTTGTTAACCATGCTTCACTATCTTTTCTCTCTCTTTCTTTTTATAACCTCAATATATTATGCCTCTTTTCAAATTTGCAGCATTTTTCAACTGCATATATAAGTTATCACGTGAAACACAAGGGGAAAAGGAAAAATAAAATACTGATCTGTATCGTCACAAAGAGCATGTATCCAAGAAATGGCTTTAAACATTGTTGTTGTTGTTTAGTTTCAACAACCGTAACTCAAAAGTGTGCTAACTGGGTAGAGCAAACACCCAGAATGATAAAACTTTGTTCACAGATGCAACTCATAGTATGAAAATGTAAACATCACAAGTTTGCAAACAACAACAAACAGCCTCAGGCAATAAAAAACTTGTAAATGGTGTTTGTGCCTCAAACATCCTTATGGTTGGACCTCTAACAATGAAACTTGGTACACATATGCAACCAATGATGAGTATCAAAATGTAAACATCACAAGTTTGTAAACGACAACAAACAGCCTCAGGCAATAAAAACTTGTAAGTATATTATATTGCACAATATGCATGCTAATTCAGAAAAAAAAAGGAAAGGAGACAAGACAGTGATGACCTAGTGAATGTGATGCACTAGTACAATGGGATGGTGGTTACTAGTACAATTGGATGATGGTAATATGTTCAAACTGACATTTCTTGCTCGTTGTACTGCCCTCTCTGACAGGTTCTCAGTTTTGATGTATTTGTAGTCTATGACTTCAAACTAACCAATTCTACAATGCTGCTTTTTATACAGAAACCTAGTCTCCAAAGTACATCATTCACTAGTTGGAGTGGCGACAATGTAGGGCTTATGTAGAGTAAAATGTACACGAGCAAGAAATGTCAGTTTGAAGATGTACCCATCATCCCATTGTACTAATGCACTAGGTCATCCCTGTCTTGTCTCCTTGCTTTTTATGGCGTCCCTATATTCCATAGTTTTTGATATTTTTTAATTTCCTTCTTCTATAAAGATGTGAGTCTCAGGCCAAATTGATCATACATTGCAACATCACCACTTATTGTAAATGTACATTGCGACTTCAGGTGAAACCTAGTGGTACAAGTAAATTAAAAATCCTGCAAATAAAAAAAAAAGGCATATGGGGATGGAAAGGGAGACAAGATAGGGATGGGATACTTAATGAACAGATTTGAGTACGCTGACACCCCCAACCGCATCACACAATCCCTATATTGTTGCCTGGTGTGCTACTCTTATAGGGGCTAAAGGTTACTAAAAGCAAGCGTTCTTTCACCGTGTCCCTGTTGTATTTATACCTCCACATTTCCTCTTGGACTCTATAAGGGTGTTGGTTACTCAGTAGTGTATTGTAAGTTCTGAGTATTGTAATGGCGAATGTTTAATAATTCACCTAGGCAACAATATAGGGATTGTGTGATAGGGTTGGGGGCGTCAGAGTACTTAAATCTGTTCTTCAACCATGCTTCAAGCATCCCATCCCTATCGTGTCTCCCTTTCTTTTTATACCATCCCTATATGCCTTTTTTTTTAATTCGCAGGATTTTTTATTTACTTGTCTCCACTCATTTTTATATAATACTGCGTATTATCTCTGTGGAAGGGGCAAGCCACTATAACAAATTTTAATAGAGAAAAAATGCCTGTTGTCGTCACGGAAATGATATGCATACCATGTTTCATCGCTGCTGTTACCAAATTTGAGGAGTGAAGAAGTAATTTTAAAGAAAAGTGCCTGAGGCTATTTATTGTTGTGGTCGTCATGGAAACCATGTAATACACATGCGCACCAAGTTTCACCTCCATGCATACTACAGTTAGCAAGTTTGAGGAGTGAAGAAGTAATTTTAAAGGAAGGTGCCTGAGGCTATTTGTTGTTGTGGTCGTCATGGAAATGATGTTACACAAATGCGTACCAAGTTTCATCTCCATGCGTGGTACTGTTAGCGTGTTTGAGGAGTGAAGATGAAAAGTGCCTGAGGCTATTTGTTGTTGTAGTTGTCATGGAAACGATGTAATACTCATGTGCACCAAGTTTCACCTCAATGCGTGGTATAGTTAGGGAGTTTGAAGAGTGAAGAAGTAATTTTAAAGAAAAGTGCCTGATGCTATTTGTTGTTGTGGTTGTCATGGAAACAATGTAATACTAATGTGCACCAAGTTTTACCTCCATGCGTGCTATAGTTAGCGAGTTTGAGGAGTGAAGATAATTTTAAAGAAAAGTGGCTGAGGCTATTTGTTGTTGTAGTTGTCATGGAAACGATGTAATACACATGCGCACCAAGTTTCATCTCCATGCATGGTACCGTTAACGAGTTTGAGGAGTGAAGAAGTAATTTTAGAGAAAAGTGATTGAGGCTATTTGTTGTTGTGGTCGTCATGGAAATGATGTTACACAAATGCGTACCAAGTTTCATCTCCATGCGTGGTACTGTTAGCGTGTTTGAGGAGTGAAGATGAAAAGTGCCTGAGGCTATTTGTTGTTGTAGTTGTCATGGAAACGATGTAATACTCATGTGCACCAAGTTTCACCTCAATGCGTGGGAGTTTGAAGAGTGAAGAAGTAATTTTAAAGAAAAGTGCCTGATGCTATTTGTTGTTGTGGTTGTCATGGAAACGATGTAATACTAATGCGCACCAAGTTTTACCTCCATGCGTGCTATAGTTAGCGAGTTTGAGGAGTGAAGATAATTTTAAAGAAAAGTGCCTGAGGCTATTTGTTGTTGTAGTTGTCATGGAAACGATGTAATCACATGTGCACCAAGTTTCACCTCCATGAGTGCTACAGTTAGCAAGTTTGAGGAGTGAAGAACCAATTTTTCACCCAATATGCGGTCGTCATGGAAACATGTAATCGTCACGGAAATGATATATAAAAGGCATACACACCAAGTTTCATCTCTATGTGTGCTACCAGTTTGAGAAGTGAAGAAGTAAATTCAAAGAAAAGTGCCTGAGGCTATTTGTTGTTGTGTACAAACATGTGTTGTTGTGATTTTAATGTCGGTGATTGAATACATTATGTGTACAAAGTTTCGTTCACATAGCTCTTACCATTTTTGAGTTATACTGACACATGTGATCCCATTATAATGTATTGCCTGGGGCTATTTGTTGTTGTTTACAAAGAAATAAGTATGACCAGTCTCTTCGGGTGACGGATATATACATTCTAACAAAATTTCATTACTTTATGTTGTTTCGTTTTTGAGTTACGCGAGTTCAATCTGAAGAAGGAGAAGAAGGGAAACTCCCTATCATAGCCCCATACATCTATGATGCTAGGTACCATACCAATCCCTATATACTAAGTACTACCGTACTTAGTGATTAATTACATTTGTCTCGCTTAGAATGCTATAAAGTAGAATAAAGAGAGGACATTACCGTGCCGCGTAGGGATACTGTGCATTGTATGGAACACCAGTTCCGTAACTCGGGGAAGGGTAGCCAGTCATATTCATCATGGTTGCAGCATCTGGAAAGTTACCAGTGACTGAAGGCTATTTAGGAAAGAACAAGCATACATCATATGGGCATGTTGTTACACACTGTAAAACAGTATACAAGCAAACACGTTTAACAGATTAAGAGAATGTCACACAGTCAATGGAGACAGCTTTTTGCTCTAACAGGCTAGCTGCATCAGTATTATAAGTAGTTACGAGCAACGCTAGAGTACACATCCCTCAAGTAGCTTCATCCCTCAGCAGTACAAAACGTAAGCCAGTTCCGATCATGCATATTTCCTTTTCACTTGTTTCAACAGCATACATTAGAGCCATGCTCTAGTGAGTTCTGAAATCTGATTGGTCAATCAGAGGAATATTATGTCACTTAGTATTCCGCTGACAGATCAGCATACTTCTACATATAGAAATCCTCCCCGAGACACATTCCACTGTTATCATTCGCAGAAACATGGCTCACAACACAGAAAATTCAAGAAGACGCTAATCATATCTGCATAGCTAGGTCGAGACGCAGCAGTCACGCAAGAGTAGGCAGGATCGCTGCGCTTTTTCACACAGCTAGTGTGCGTGTGCACTGGAGCTGTAGCCAGAGCAAGTATAGGTCTCTGTAGTCATGCACCGCTACATGCTAGAAGACAGAGTACCTGGTTTTTCGTGAGAAAGAACCACCCCAGAAGCTCCGTTTTCCTTCCGTACGCTTGGCGTCTTTCGAATTGAAGGCGTGGTTACCATGGCACTAAATCAGTTAGGTGCCAATTCCCGAAAACCACGCGATTTAGAAAGCCTCGTAGCTTTCTAAATCCGCGTAGTTTCCTCGAATCGGTGCCTACCTTATATGTAGAAGTCAATAAATATAACATTCTAAAACGTTCACCCACCGTTTCACTGTTCATCCATTGACCACTCATCTTTGCGCATCCACAACAACAATGCGTGCAGGATGCTATGAAAGAGTTCACTGCAGCACAACTTAAGTACAGAGGCAATTCAATTTCGATTCTGCAGGTCTTTGCCAAGGCTTAGGTTGCGCAAAAGCATGTTTCGCTACTAAAAAAATAGCATAGCATCACTGCCCAGAAGAGTGGAAGTCGCAAACAATTGATTAATTTTAGAACAGTTTGAACGGTAAACGGCCTTTCCCCATTTTTTACGCTGTTGAACGGTGAATGATTTTATTTAGACCTCTACTGTATCTCTTGAATGTAGTAGTTCCGGAAAAATCGCCTTCTTATTTTTCCACGTAGTGATAGCTCTGATGCACAGTAGCAATACATGGTGATGCTATACAGAAACTATGAGTACAATAGAGCGGGAAATTCAGCTGCCTCCAGCCTGTAGCGTCAAAATAGCTGCAACTAGACGAACAAAACAAAAACGGGGAATCACAGAAGTGCAAGCATTCAGCCAGTTACGCATGTACGCAGGGCAGTATACACCGACCTTTAATTGATTAATTTTAGAACAGTTTGAACCATTCTGCCACGTTTTCTGCCAGTGTTTGGGTAGTGTTTCATTCTTGCTTGCTTATGGAATGCTGTCGCATGGTCAATCCTTTTGCAGAGCATCTTTGTTGCTCCACTCTCAGGCTCTGCGTGAGCCACTTTTCACACACACCAGATAACGTGACCCCGTTTTAGGACCATGCACCAGCAAGCAAAAAAGAAAAATGGCAGCCACGGCTTGCGAGCCAGCTTGTTGTCAAGCTGTTTCATGTAAAGAAATGGACCAGGAAATATACAGCAAAGACCTCGCCAATCCTAGAGTGCACATTCTTACACTGCACAACGTAGCGTACAGACCGGAGAAGGCCGAACGACATCTGGCCTGAGTGGCAGGAGACGGTTGCTACGCATGCTGCTTCTCTTAGAAACCAACTTACCAATCCTAAGAATCGAGGAACACTCGCAGAGAACACTTAAAACGCCACAACAGAGCTACCAGTGCGAACGAAAAAGCGTACAGCTACTTTTCAGCTGAGCCAGTGGGGTATGGCTACCTGCACACGTGCAAGGACCGAGTGACACACAGCGAGCACGAACAATGCCAGCTTCCCAGTGAGTTTTTGGGTAGTGTTTCATACTGGATGAAAGAATTTAAACTGTAGATATCTTGCTTATAGATGCATACGGAGTGTTAGAATAGGGTGGTTTGTTTTGCAACTTGTTAGCCAATGATGCACACAGACGAGAAACCAGCGGAAATTTGTTTCTGCCAGAAAGCAAGAAGTTGCCTAGAGAATGACATGTAGTGCGTACCTTGTGAACGACCATAACAAAGGGGTACAAGAGTACAAAGTCACAGTTTATAACCCTCGGTGCACATTCACAGCAAGGATTATAATAGGGTACTTGGTTGTCATTCTGTCCGTCTGTCTGTTACCACGTTTCTGCCACTACACGCAACAAGACAGCCAAATACGGGTTCATTGCCACACTGGCATGGATGAACATGTTTAGAAGACCCAGACTGGCTTTATAAAGCAGGCCTGAAATGGGAATACAGAGTGAACATGTCCTAAAGCCTAGAAACATTAAAAAAATCGAAGAACGACAGAAACTACCATCATCTCATCACATCAGTACACAACATCACGCGGAAATCGGACAAATCATACAACAATTTGGTTCCAGGACTGAGAATATCACCACCACGAATGAATGGCTCAAGTATCAGAAATATCGTGAAAAGTCGGAGATACTGATGAACAGAGTTAGCTAGACCTGGGAACAAGGGCTGTTAGCTAATGCGTGCGTGAGTGGGCGTGCTCTGAAGGGCTGAAGGAAAAAATGCTCTGTAAAATGCGTGCAAGGCTAGCGCTAACCCAGACCTTTGCAAAGAGTTGGTAACCATTATACGGGTAGCTTCCACGGGACGACGACGAATGAAGCCACACTGAGCTCAGTGTCTACGCATGCTCGATACATACACATGCAAATCACAAACGAGCGCTAGTGTAACATATGCAGGCGCGGAGGGATCGGTATAATTACCCACGGTTGGTGCAGTCGGGATACCCGCTCTGCTAGCGTTTAGATTTCTTTCGCTAGCTGAACTATCATTTACATTTCGCTGCACTCTTCACTCGTCTTCCATTGGTCGCATTCCGCAGTGCATAAAGAGCAGAATCCGGGCGGGGTAAGCCAATACTCATTAGCGTAGGTCGAAAAGTATGTACGGTTTTCTCTGAAACTGCTACGTTCGGGAGTTACGGCGTGAAACACAAGCAGAAAAAAAGCCAATGTTGTAATTAGAACAGGCTTACCTCGAGCGGCTCCGCTTGCTCTGTGTATCTTGAAGGCACAAGAAGTCACAGCATATATCGACCCCATGCATGCTATTTAGTAGTGTAGCTAGCCCGTTACTGACTCTGGTAACAGACCATGAGTCAGTACAACAGTAAAATGGCCCAGCCCATCAATTAGCAGTAAGCACATGATTGTACAAGCCGTGTGAGCATTTGAAATCTGTTCACACATGTGTCAGATATTCACATATTGGCTTGTTCACAAAATTTCAAATAAAGCCATTGTAGCGCCGAACCATTTGGTACCACTCATTTGTTGTCTCATTGCGTGTGGTGGCAGAAAACGTGGTAACAGACAGACAGACAAACAAACTTACGGACCAAGTACCGTAACCCTCGCTGCGCATGCACGCCAAGGGTAACCAGAAACAAAAAAAGGTGATTCTCCTCAAACGCCCCTGTTCAAGAGATATGAAAAGCCTGGCTTAAACCTCGTCCAGGTTTAGCCTACACCCAGGGTGTGTGTATTCATTTCAGTGTTGCTCTAAGCATACTGGCCTGTGTTAGAGCAATAAACAGGCTCCGCCGAGACTGCGTGGCCCGGCCCGGCCCATCAATTAAAACAGTGCTTTACGCACATGTGTATTGCACACCAGAATGCGTGCGCATTACTTCTCCACCAAGAGTTTACACTTCAGTGCTTTTAATTTCTTCACGTTTGCTTGGGCTGTTCTGTTACGGAGATGTATCTGCTTTGTAGTGGGCCCTAAAAACCAAAACGGCAAATACAAAGAAGGCAGCAGGCAAGCTCCGTGCCTCATAGGCTAGGTTACTTGCATGATAGCAACATGCTTGTTTTGTGGTCAGTGCATGCTTGCGCATAATTTTCACTTTACGTGGCCGTTCATAAGCAGGAGAAAATAGACATAACCGTCTTTGAAGCGCCGTTCAGCCGGACCAGACGTCTTATGCCGTTATGAAGTAGATATGTTGCAGATAGATGTATCTTGCTTCTTGTGAACCAAACCAAAGATGCGGTTATTCTCTCGGGCACCTGCTAAGGCTAATACCTCTGATTAATTTTGCCATCTTATACTACCTTTCCATCCACGGTTACATATTTTCTGGTGCAAAACACCTGATATGCCTTGATAAGGAGACATAAATTAGCTCTTACTCTTTAGCGCAAAAAAGGCAGCTTGATTTTCTCGTTATCATGTAATATGCATCCGTCTTGTCTCCTGACAAAAAGGCCACCAAACTAAAGAAATGAGTGTCCAGGGTTTTGTACGTTTGTTACAAGTTACGCCCTTTCCCCACGTCATCTATGCTTACGGGTCTAGTGAAGTGTATTACTACACTGTTGGAAGTATGGTGGCTAATGTGCAAGAGCACACACATAATATAATGCATATCGATCGTAACCCCACCTGGCACCCACGGGAGGCTTTAGGGAGGTTTTTGTACGAGGGAGGCTCAAACACAAGGCCCTGTGCAAATCCTACATAATACACCACATGGCCCAGGAATTATAGTGGGGTTTGTCACTGATTGTAGGTGCATAATACACTGAGTTCAGAGAGGTATTCAGGGAATCTCCCACCATATACACAATGGACACAGTATACATACATTCCATATAAGAACATGATGGCGGGAAGTATGAACAATGGGTAGCATACTCCTAAATAAAGCGCACCCTTGATAAGCCATACCTCACGCTACTTTTCAGTGCAATAATAAACACAGCTTTACCTGATTTGGGTACACATAATCAGATCCAGGTTTCAGCCCTTGGCCTCTCATGTAACCTGCAGCATTCCATCGCGTTGCATATGCACCATCCGGGAGAGCCACAGAGGGTGGCTTACTTCCAAACGTTTGCATTCCACCACCTGGAGGATTCGCGTAAGGGCTACCATCTGGCCCTTTGTGTCCATAGTAGGGACTGTACATATATTTTCCAGCGGCTCCTTGAGATTCTATCCCACCATGAGAATTACCAGAACCAAAATCTGCCGCATATCTGATGTCTCCGGGCTGATGATACATGGTCCTCACGAATAAAAGCTCCTGCACCACACGGGCACTCCGGGTTCCAGTTATCAGCTCTGCAACGTAAAAGCCTAGTGATAGGTATCGCAACGATGAAGAACAGCTCTCAAACTCCCGAAAGGTGTCATCGCCAGAACAGACTACGACAAGTAACCCTGGAGAACCGCCCGAACGCCATTTTGTTTCTTGTGGGTTGATACCGTATATACCCTTATTCAAGGAAAAGAGCCACGTGGAAAAGAAAAATTGAACATGCTGGCGCAATGTACAATCACATTCGAGCCATACACGATGCCTACACTAAAATCGTTTTCCACTTGACCGGGCTCCTTTAACAATCTTCTGGGATTTGAGATTTTGCTTCATCTGTGCTTTTTGAGCCAACTGCAAACAAACACAGATCAAAATATGGAGGTGTAACTTGGCACATACCTTCTGTGCTTGCTGAATTTTGGATTTTTTCTTTGCCGTTGCTTTTTCCTTTGCAGCTCTGTAGGATTAACAACTCAGATTGAAATACTTCATTGAAAGATAGTAAAAACCTTATAGCTTCCTCCCTCTGAGCCTTCCTAACTTCTGGTTTTTGGTTCCGCTTTTGCAAAATGGACTCAAGAGTGGCTCCAGTTATTGGTCTGTAAGCCTTGGTAGTTCTCCTAGATCGTTTTTTAACGACTTCCTCCACAGACCCTTTCTTATTTTTTCTTCTGTACACAACCGTCCAGCTGGTTTTGCGAGGGTTTCTGCGCATCATGAATGACCGCTCACATTTCCCATTCAAGAAGTTAAACGACTGTAGAGTAAAATACGCATATCCCATAATGGTAACTCAGTAGGACATAAGTTACAGTTCACCTTTCCATCGACTCTCACGTATTTCTTTCCTCGACTGGGCAGAATTTTCGCCCCACTGAAATGGCAAAGCTCTACCCTGAAGAATAAGGTACGGTCATTAGATATTAAACACTGAAACTGGTCCCGCAGACCAACAAAACCCTAGATCACGAGGGATCTAAAAGGCACATACTCACTTCATCTTTGCCACTCTACGTAGGCTGAAACGTGACTATCTCTATAATTATATCTAGCTAGCTAGCTAGCTCTAGACGGGGACCGGGGGACGCATGCGCGTACTGCCAGGCGGAGGCGGTGTCGTCGTCCGGTCCCATCCATGCCCCATGCAATCAACAAACTACTCACCGAAATGGCTACACCCCCGGCCCCGGCTATACCAGTGGAACATCGTTTGTTAGAACCTGCCTCCCGGCTAGGGCGTAGCCCGAAAAATCGAGCGCCGTCTCTGAGGCATAAGGCGAGGTCTCAAAACGTCGTTATGAAGGAATCGGAACAAAGTTTACACAAACTTATGGAAGACTTTGAACTGGGGCGTCTAAATGCTTTCGGTGAGATACGAGATACTCCCTATGCTACTTTAGAGTTTTTTTCTGTTCTGTTTTGAAAGGTAATTCCGATATGCTACAGAGGATAAATGAGATTAGAGAAATGCAGAAGAAACTCACAATAAGGCATTTTGAATTAGATCAGAGGTATAGCACAATGTGTATTAACCTTATTTAGCCTTCTCTCCCCACTACTGTTTTAAAGCAAATTCGGTGGAGAGGAGAACCAAGATGTGTGTCATCATGGCTTAGTTCAGAATGTAAGTTATAATATTTTTCAAAGGCCATGTATAGGGGATGGGCATGGTATATACCTAGCATCATAGATGAACTGCGGCTATGATAGGCAGTTTTGTTCATCTCTTCTTCTTCATATTCAACACCCATAACTCAAAAACTAAACAACATACAATAGTGAAATTTTGCAACAACGTAGATATCTGTCACCAGAAGAGACTGGATATACATATTTGTTTGTAAACAACATCTTACTGTAAACAACAACAAATAGCCCCAGGCAATACATTATAATGGGATAACATGTGTCAGTGTAACTCACAAATGGTATAAGACCTGTGTTACACCCCGACCGCATCATACAATCCCTTTATAGGGAAGAGCTTAAGAGGCCAACCCCAGTAAGAAGCGTGAGGCCCAGAATTGTGTAGGAGGCCGACCCCAGTAACAAGCGCGAAGCCCATAAAAAAGTGTATGAGGCTGACCCCAGTAAGAAGAAAGAAATGATTACAATGCTGATCCTAGTAAAAACATAAAGCAGCAAAAGACAGGTACAATTCCAATCCTGAAAGTTGCAGATGTGGTGCATTACAGCAAAAACACTCCGCAACGTAAGCGGATTATTAAAGGCAGTGCTGTTCGCGTCTGCTGTTGAACAAACAGAAGGGTTACTACAAACCTGGCCTTTCAAAACGAGCAGCGAAATTTGTGCGCCGTGCTATGGAAACCCAAAAAATGGTATGGAGCAACTCTTTGCATGAGCCCAAGCAGTACGCTATTGAGTTGTTTTAATCAAAAACATGAAATTGCGAGTTTTAAAAAAGGGCTCACTTGTGAACGACCAGTTTTGTGCTACTGCTATCAAGTCTGCGCATTGTTGACCTCAAGTCAATGTTTGAATCAGTGTGCACGCTATGGCGAGATCTAGATTCTGTAGACAATGGCTGTCAGAATGGTCACTACATTTGTAAAGCTACCGACAGTGACCGAGCCGGTCATCCACTGACGTGTACTGTTGCAGGTTGCGACAGTAAGTTATGACACTCAGAGCAGCAGCCCTGCACTATCCTGTGCTACGAAGTTTTCTCACAACACTGTATGAAGCTATTCGTTTCCACAAGCTAATTGCCAGCATTGACTCTGCTCTTAGAGCAGGTAAATTTGCTTTGTTTTGTGGCATGGATGAGTACATGGATGACTAAAAAAAAAACTGTTTAGCGGTGAAAACGCAGACAGAAAGTCTACCGTCCAGTCTGCGGTCGACGTCCAAAAGTCAAATCTGCCTGACATTGAGTCAGAATTTCTATCAGAGCATACAGAGATGATTGCAGAGCTAGAGAAAAATCTGGCTGACGATCCAGAGTTTGCCTTCTGCAGATGTGAGCGCCTACTTCAGACAAAGAATGTCACTGCTTTTGACTTCTCTGAATCGAAAAAAATCACGTCAAATATGTGGCAGGTACTCAAGGCATACATGAACATGTCAGATCCTGAAGCCACAAACAAGACACTATGTGTGTCAGTACTGCCGGCCCATTCTGAACCAGGACAAGCTGCCATCCGGGTGTGTTCTGAATTGGCTGGAAGTTGAAACAGTTCCAAAGGAACTGGAAAATCTGGATCCATTGAGTAAGCAGCTGATTCAAAAAGCTAAGGCATTTCAGGCTGTTTACAGACTAGGAACACACGCGGGGAAAGTCCCAAGCCACAACTCGCTGAAGGCTTGCAAGGGGACAATGTTCTTTTTACCTCTCCCACTCGAAAAGACGGTGAAGACGTTGGAAGAGGTAAACAACAAAGTTGATGGTGCAGTCACTGGGCTTCCAAACCCCGGAGCTGTATATCATCGTCAACTCAAAGTCCAAGACCAACAAAGTGGTTTGGCAGTCTCATCGATATCTGTGCACTCTGAGATGCTATCCAGAAACTGAAATACATCAACTGGGTGTATGCAGATATCGACGAAGCCAGCCTAGATGATGTCATCAGACGACTGGACCAGAACGATCCAAACATTCCCGATACTGACCAGTACAAGCTCAGCAACATCAAAGAGGATGCGCTGAACAACAAATTGAAGCACTTGGATGTTATGTGGTTTCCCACTCTATTTCCGACTGGGAGGTTTGGAGATGGACACTAGTTAGAAGTTAAGTTCTCTTCTAGCGAATACGTGAAACCACGTCTCCTACACAAAGACGGTCGTTTTGGCAAGGACGACCAGTACGTTTTTTTATCTGCTCTGGCAGAAGAAGATGGGACAACTGGCAGCCGGTGTGTGCAACTTGCTCAAGGGCACACGTCAGCCAGTTGGCGAATTCATGGAACAAGTGTGCAACTCTGACGAGCACATTTAAGGCACTCTATCCACTGTGTTCCAGAGCGTCCGTGGATCGAAGCAGTTCTGGTTTCTGCGCCGCAGTGAGGTTCTCTGCATGGTGAAGGAGTACGGTCCACCCACTCTCTTCCTCACTCTCAGAGTACGACAGTCTAGAGATAGCCACGTATCTCAGAAAAATGGTAGCGACAGCTATCCCATTGGGAAGCTTTGCACAGAGGACCCAGTTGCTGTTTCTAGGATATTTTCCCAGAAATTTCACAATTTCTTTCGGACTGTTATCCTCAATGGAAAGTGTTGGGTAGTATTGCTCACCACCAAGGAGTACCAGGCTAGTGGAGCGCCACGCTACCACATCCTCTTGTGGATAGAAGGTGCCCCTGTAGCTGGTAAGGATGACGACGATGTGGTACTGCAGTTTATCAAGGAGAGGATCACCTGCCACATACCCGAGGAGGCCAGCAACCCTGAGCTACACCGGCTGGTCACCAAGTATCAGTACCACAAGTGAAACAACTACTGTTGTCACAAGAAGAAAGTCGGGAGCACTTTCATCACACGTTGTCCGTTTGGGTTCCCCAGACGGACACGAGAGAGTGCCAACCTTTTGTCTGTGGAGGAGTGCATGAAACTGTCTCACAGGAAAATGTACAACCTTTCACGCTCACCGGAGGAGCAACAACTACAACCCTCTCCTCCTCATGCTGTGGAAGGCCAACATGGACTTGCAGTACATTGGTGAGTCCTCACTGGCCATTGCCCAGTTCGTCACTGGCTACATGACCAAGGCGGAGAAGAGCAACATGCAGGACCTCTGGCAGGAGGTCTCCTCTCACTCCTCCATTCTACAGCAAGCTGTGGTCCTTTGGTATCCGGTGCTTGCGCTCCAGGGAGTGTGGTATGTACGAGGCCAGTGACCTACTCCTCGGAGACCACCTGTGTGAAAAGTCCACGACCATCAAGTGGGCCGATGTGTCCCCGTCTCAGAACAGAAAGAGACGGCTGCGAAACCACGCGAAGCTGGTCGAGATTTGGGAGATGAACCCAGATTCCAGACATTTTCGAGGAGAATCTCATGGATAACTTCTGTCCCAAAGGGCCAGACAACATGGAGGAAATCTGTCTCTATGATTTTGTTGCCGAGTACGAGAAATGTGGTGTAGACGGGGACGGCAGTCCCGTCTACCGGGAACGCACCAAACTCATTCTTCCCAACCACAGGATATACGATCCCGCCAAGGAGAACGAGTGTGAGAATTACTAATACTCTCTCCTTCTCCTGTTCGTTCCCTTTCGCAACGAGGCAGACCTCATTGAAGAGGGAGAGACTGCCGAGAGTGCTTTTGGAATGCACTTGGAAGAAAACGATGCACTCAATACACACTCTGAAAAGCTTCAATGGATGTTGATGGCTAGAGAGAGTGTGCAGAAGATCAATGAGGCCGGGAGAGCCCAGCATGAAGAGGTCAGCACAGACCCTGGCACAGAGGAGGACGACGACGGTCCTCAGGTGGCAGGTGAGGCAACGTCGGCCATGAATGACGTGCTCGACCTGCACCTGAACAATGACAGTGATGGACCTAGCCTGGAGGAACTAGTCCAGTCATTGAACACCGACCAGGCTAGGGTGTAAGAACACGTGAAATCCCACGTCGAGCATCAGCTGAGTCACAAGAAAAGCAGTGCAGTTGTACGGACCTCAAGCCACTGCACATGTTTCTCAGCGGGGTGAGAGGCACTGGCAAGTCTTTCCTCATCAAGATTGTCCGTGCACTTAGATAGGGATGGGATGCATGAAGCTGACACCCCCGACCCCATCACACAATCGCTATATTGTTGCCTAAGTGAAGTTTTAAACATTCACCATTACAATAGTCAAGACTTATAGTCAGGACTTTTTTTATTAGCATACTAGCTAAAAGAATAATATGAGAGGAAAAGAAAGGAACCTTAAACCCCCCACCCAGGCACACAAAACACAGACAATAACATATAAACAGAAAGAGAGAGGCAGGACTCTGGGTGCCCAGCCTTGAGAACCTGGGCGGTAGGCTAAAGAGTCTTTTATGGGCCCAACTCTTCCTACACACCCAGTGTCCCAACCTCCCTTAGAGAATAAAATCATGTACAAAAAACGACAGCTACAGGATAAAAACAATAGCCAGTAGAAAAATAGAGAGCCTCAAAGGATTAGTAAACTCATAGAAATATATAAAAACTCCGAAACTTGCGCAGTACGACGATGTAACTGAGATACAAAAAACGTGCGATTACTCTAAATAACGCACAACATATACACGTGTAAGAAAAATATAAAAATATAAATTTAAAAAAATAGATTTTCCATAATAAATATGTCTGTCGATTACTTTAAATAACGCACAGTATATAGACGTGTAAGAAATGTTAAAAAATATGTCACTAAAAATATACATTCTATCTATGTGAGACATGGCGACTGAGGAACCTATCCATTGCTGGCAGACATATACCATCCTCCACATGTTTGCGTATGCCGCAGCTATATTTATC